AATCATATCCAAAGGGATAATATCGATATATAGGTTTAGTCAAATATAAGAATTGCACCATATATCATGATAAATGATATTCAAATGTATATATATATATATATATATATATATATATATATATATATATATATATATATACAGAGAGGGAGAGAGAGAGAGAAAATATAAGAATTACACCATATATCATGATAAATGATAGTCATATATATATATATATATATATATATATATATATATAGAGAGAGAGAGAGAGAAAGAGATACTAAATATGTAGTAGGCAGGGACAATTCCAGGCCAAACACGGATATTAAAAAAAAGTGTTCAATACACCGTCCAGAATGGAACATGTAGAGCAGGTTATATATATATATATATATATATATATATATATATATATATATATATATATATGCTATGTCTGATTGAATAAATTACAAACATTGTGTCTGCTTATTTTTATCATAATCCTTTCATATTCTCGAATATTTTTCCGTATATTACAATTCAATAGGGCAAGGAATGTAATTCAGTTGTAATATATGGGAAAATATTCGTGAATATAAAAAGGATTATGATCAAAATAAGCAGAGATAGTGTTTGAAATTTATTCAATCAGATATGCCTAAAAGAGAATTTGCTGCCGAAATACACAAATCTCTCTCTCTCTCTCTCTCTCTCTCTCTCTCTCTATATATATATATATATATATATATATATATATATATATATATATAATGTAATTGGTAGGGATTATTCCAAAGAGAACATTTCATTCCATAGGAGAGCTCAATGTATGATACAGAATAATTAAGAAAAAAACTTAAAAAATCCATAGTCAGTAATAAATTTATTTCGATGAATATAAGAATATTCATCTTATCAGGCCGATTACATTTTATATGCATATATATTTCATAGTTATGTATTATGGTAGTAATCACTTTTCACTACATATTATGGAAGTATAAAAAAAATCCTTGAAAACAGATAATAGTTTAGGCGAGTCACAGAGATTTTAAACTATTTTTAGAAAAGTCCAGGAAATGAATACACTTGAATGCAGGCGAGAAATACAGTAAAACACTAAAAAATACGTTGTTAGTCGTCTTCAACGATATATATATATATATATATATATATATATATATATATATATACTTTGCAAGTGGAATTGAGATACCCTTAGTTAATGACCATTTTCACCTACGATTTTTAATTTTAAAATTCGCAGGATTTTTCAAACTGTTTATGATAGCAATTTGTAGTGGATTTGATACCATAAATAGTTTTAAAATCCTGCGAATTTTACAATTAAAATTCGTAGGTGAAAATGGTCATTAACTAATCTTAATTCCAATTTTAAAGAAAATTTGCCCTGTTTAATGAAAATAAACATTGGGCTCTCTTTTGTGAGTCAGTTTTAACAAATTTCAAATTCTATGTTGTGCTGATAGGACTCGCCTCGATTGTACTAACGGATTACTACCTATATATATACACACACTAACCGAGTTCACCCCAAGCAATGTAGTAAACTTACTAAGACAAAAATTAGAAATCCCGTGCCATAAGCGACTATTTGGACTTAAGCTCAAATCAGATCCATAAAGAAATTCGTAAATACGCCCTATCGCAAAAGATACTGAAACCATTGTTGGTTACCTGCATCCCTCAAGTAAGGACCTGACACCTCCTGCTACTCCCTGTTTTTACGAGAGTCAGATCTGGCCGGAACTGGAGTACCGCTGCTATATATCGTCAGGAGCTGACTATTTTTCACTTTTTAGTTTCGATAGAACCCAAAGGCGTCTAGGCTTCATTGCGGGGCGGAGGGGGGTTTGGTTGCGGATGAATTAAATTTTAACTCTACAACTCCTTTCTCGAGCGAATCTATCGCTATTTCCATTGAAAGTGTTCAGACGAATTATATTCCTTAGTTCCACCTGTTCTAACTACCACGGCTAAGACCCGCACATTGTAGCGGACCACCCTCATTCCCTTTCTATTCCAATGGTGAGATATGTTCAATTCGAAAAGCTTCGTCCCAGGAACTGCTACTTTGTAGAACCGACTTCCAAGAGGATGCTTCCTCAATGACTACAATCTTAACCTGTTCAAATCTAGGGTTAACCGTTATCTTTCCCACATAGCTCCATAAACTGTACTCCTTACTCTGTAAACCTCTACAAAAAAGTGTTAGGGATTGTATAGCGTGAACATTATTGTTATTGTGAACATTATATATATATATATATATATAATAATCGACTCTCCCGTCGCGTTCGACGTATGAGGGTCAGGCCGATAAGTCTCCAGGAAACCGACATCCCGACACCGGCACATGAGATTTGATTATAGTGGTGAAGGCCTCGTGCAGGACCATCCACACTTTTTGGAGGGACGAATACAGAAACCTGGTGCACCGAATGCATATATTATATATATATTGCCGTGTAAATGTTACTTTTTTGGGGTCTTATTAAAAATATGCCATATG